TTTAATAAGCTAAAAAATCCCTTTATAATTTTTCAGTAGTAGGAAATCGACATCTATTAAAATTTAATTGAATAATAAATGCACCCTTCATTAATCTAGCAATAATAAGATGTTTTTGTTTATGTTTTTAAAAATTTCTCGCTATATCCTCAATAAACAAATGAAGTTAAATCGAGTTGCGGTTTTTTTAAAATCAAAAGAAGTACAAATTAAAAAAAACGATTTTGATTATTATTATGTGTATGCTTATCATACTTTTTCCTTATTAGAAATCCGTCTTATCAAAATATTATACGTATGTAAGAATGAATATATTGTGTATTTTACTATAGTTATCTGCAGCAACATCGAATCTATGTATTATACAATATATTACATAAAATACTAGCTGCATACATATACTACATTTGTATGTATGTAATGTATTTTTTAATTACACTGATTTAATTAAATGCGCATTGGTAACTTTAATTTACGTACCTTTTACCTATGTATTTACATTATGTATTACGTACTCTACATAATAACTTGTCTTGAATTAAATAGCAGGTACGCACAATGATTAAAAACCAGATGACAGACATGTATTTATGTATTAATGGGGGTAGTATATAAGTTTAATTAAAACGTAAATTTTGTTTCAAAAATTTCAATTTTCAAAGTACAGCCGTTTATAGAAATCATCATTCAGCTATTCTGTAAATTATATAAATACATAGTGTGTGTTTTTCAAGTTCGAAGATAATTTTTTTAGGGAACATTTTCATTATTTTGAATGATGGGTAGACAGACATAAAAGTTATTGTTATATCAATAAAGAGAATAAGAAAAAAGGCCCAAAAAATATGTCTAGGGAATTTATTGTGGGACAAGCTGTACTTTAAAACAAAAGAAAGTTCAACATTTTGCCTGTACAAGCCACACTTTTTTGTTTTTCGTGTCGAGTGCATACGTTTTTAGACGTACGCCACTGCTTTAACGGAAATACATAGGCCATTTGGAAACACATCGCCGCCTGCACCATTGATTCAGCAGGATATTTAACTCTGTCGGACATTTTATACATATTTTTATTGGTTTTCATTTTTTTTTGTCTCTTCCACACACAATATACTGGACTCAAAAAAAAAAAACAAATCGGCAATGAAAACTTAATTTGTTTTAAAGATAAACAAAAGAAAAAACAAACGAATAACATTAAAGACAGCTATTGTTAAAACTTTTGACATTTATTGCTAGAACAAACGAAAAAAATTAGTGTTAATAATAACTTTGGCCCAGTACATTGCGTAAAATTCGAAAGATAACTGTCTATTCTAATTTACGGAAAGCCGCCGGAATGTATGTACCTAGCAGATATTACAATTATTATGTATTGTATTTGTAACTTAAATTCGCAGTCAAAAAAATACACGCATCCTTGTTTAGCACGAACATTTAAATGTGATAGGTAAGTTTATAAATTTATAAATATGATAGAAATATATATTTAATATGTAATGTAAGGTACTACGTCTTTGTTTTCTTTTTTTTATTCTTTAACATTTAATATACATAAGTAATAATAAGTTTTGATTGACTTGTACGGTTGCGAAGCCATACGTATAATAGTGTGGGACAAAACAGAAGCGGGTCCTTCTTCCCCTAAACCATCTGCGATAGATAGCAAATCGCGTTAGTTGTAGTCATCAACAATCAGCACAGTCATTTGTTACCTAATAATTGGCAATGAAAAGCTGATTTCACAAGAATTGTTCGGTAACTGTCAGTGTGTCAATGTCATTACCATTTTTTGGCGATCCACTTTTGTTTTGTATACAGGGTGTTCTCAGACACGATGCAACCGTGACATATTGTCGCAAATTGATATAAACCTCTGAAGCTGTGCAAGAATTGTGTACATTTATGTATATGTATATTTGTATCGATTAAATTGTTACAAAGCCGCCTCTATATAAAAATATTTCGAGTTAAGGTACATGGATTTTTCATTTTTTTTTTTATTGTTTGTAACAGACATATACACGTATAATATGTAAATATTTAAATTGACGTACAATACATATCATTTTTTATTTATTTTCTACGTAGGTATTGAGATATTTATGTATAATTTTTTTATACACGTGCGCTATGTTCAAGCATAGCTTTTATTATTTAGCATCTTCACGATATAATTGATAGTAAACTTTGTTTTTTGCTATTGATCGAGTTATAGATATTTGACACTGTGACACGAAGGTATTTAGCTCTTAACAACGCCTTTTATTATAATAGAAAAAACACCAATTCTATTACTAAAAGAACCTATGTACGCACATTCAAATTTATTTGCTATTTAGAATACTTTTAACACTTATTACGGTTGTTCTCTGTTCCACAATGTGTGTAATTGTTTCAAGCGAATACTCCGAAAACGTCAACAATTGTTACGGTAAAATTATAAAGTCCGTTTAAAAACATTTCATTTAACAAGATTGTCTAATTAGCAACATTTTATAAGCTATTTGACGTTAAAAAAAAAAAAAAACAAAAAAACATGAGAATGCTAAGTGTCAGAAAAGTGAACACAGAAGATCTAAACTTTCGTTTGTTTGGGTCATGTTTCTTTGTAGATCATTAATCAAAAATTAATATCCAAGGTGTACGATATTCAAGTGTTTAAAATTTCAACAGTATCTCGTACTATTACCCTGACTTTGCTGCATCATTGATACGACTTCTGATTTGATTAACGAAGTATTCGTAGTCTCTGACAGCCACTCCTGTTATAGGCAATCGGAATCTATAAAAATCTTTAGTAAACACCTACAGTTCTTCACAGTATTTTAAAATCACGAAAATCGTAGCGAGAAAAACAATTCAACAGGGGCGATTTACGTACCTGGGGAAAACCCTCCCAAATAACAGGTGTAGTCAGTCGTCAGCTTCCATACCAATCAATTCAGCCTGCATACGACCCCTATAACGACAACAAATGGACATACAGAAGATCCTGAGAGCGAAACGGAACTGGGGACTCAACGACACCAAAATCAACGATTTCCAGAAAGAGTTCAGCATACCCACCCAAACAATTCCGAAATGTAGAAAAGGAATTTGCAGTTTGTTTCCCGTAAAATGCTCGTAAAGCCTGCGATAAAATAAAAAAACAATCGTAAAAACACCCTCCGATATCATAACGTTATTCGATTCTTACTTGACGGTGATCAGAGGTGACCAGGACAACCAGAACGTGACGACAAGAACGAAGGACATAATATGGCTTGGATTGGATAGATTTTCCGACAAGGCGGTGAAATATTCCTTATCGTGCATGTGAACGCCACTGCGTATTTTGCGCATTGTGTTAAAAATGTACGTGTAAGTGTACACAATTGTGATGACACTCGGGCCCAAGATGAGGATCGACAGTGTGACACTGTACGCGGCCATGTTACCCCAGTCCAACATGCAAATGTACGCGTCTTCGTCGAACCTCGGCAGATCAAGACCGAGAAGTGGAGGACAGCATAACATTGCCGAAGAAATCCATGTGAACGCCATCCAACACTGGCATCTGCAAGCAAAATGTTGGAAATTGTGTGCGAGCTCGTGCCTTTTAAACGCCGCGAAAGCAGTGGAAGGGATAGAGGCAATGGAAGGGGTAAATGCGTAGCTTGCTATTGGCTAGCCGCTCAGTAACTACGGCAACCGCTACTGCGTCTAGTATATAAGCATCAGAGAAGTGAAACGCTTTATTCAGTTATTACCTGGTTTTTGTTTGAACTGTTTCGTATCTCAAGGGCTTCCTAGCCGCCAAATATCGGTCCACACTGATCCACATGAACGTGTAAACGCTTACTGACCAAAGCGTCACTTCCACATAACCGACGATACTGCATATTATATCTCCGTAGACCCATTTTTGAACAAGGGCCGGATATACTGATAACGGAATGACCAACAAACCACAAAGGAGATCGGCGACAGCAAGGGAAAGTAGATAACAGTTGATCACTTCCGATTGGCCTGATAACACATGAAAATGGCTTATTGATAATGACATTTAAAAAATAATAACGTCTTTTGAATGCATGTATTGGTTCGGAAGTTCGTCTGGTAATCCTTAAATCCGGTTATGAGAATAAAACAGGATATTTAAAGTACATTAACTGATGTCTACTGAAGAGTTCCCATCCGGGCACAACCGCAGTTGGCACAGTTCCAACGCGACGATGGAGCTTTGAGCGTTCCAGTTTCGAATATTTTGTCACTCGACTAAGCTCAGAAGTAAATTTCACATTTCCAAAAACAATTTAATAGAGTTTACGATCGAAATCTTTATTACTTTCCCTCTGTCGTTTGGCGCGATCGCAAGAAGACTCCCAACTTTGGATTTTACGTCTGCAAAGTATCGCGTACAACTTTTCTTTATGACCTCGAATATCATAACGAATTCTCTTTGCGTTGTCCTGGACTAAATCCAAGAAATTGAGTCTCGTTTAAAGACGAACGAGAGCAGCATGTTCAACTATATTAAATCAATTCGATTAGTGCCTACCGTAAAATGATTAAAAGATCGCGTTTATCTCGACATAGTCTGTAGTTATTCGTAATACAGCTAATGCAATCTACTCGGTCCTGAGTAGAAATCAGTTGTGAAATAAATATTTTAGCAAGCACGACTGTGTTTGTGTAGGGCACACGTGTGCGTGAACTGTTTATCGACTAGCCGCGGGCGCCTTTCTTCGTGTGTGCCGTATTTGTAAATGTGTGTGGCGTACCTGCGTTCTGGGAAAACAGTTAAACCGTTCAAAGAAAAACTAAACTATCCGGACGTTTCCAGAAGGTTCCCGAAAGAAAACAAAAGAGTATTTAAAGGAAGAAACGATCGCCGAGAAGAGAAGAAATAAATTGACAGTGATAGCAGTGAAATAAAAAACGAAGTGATCCGGAGGTTTCCAGAAGGTTCCCGAAAGAAAACAAAAGAGTATTTAAAGGAAGAAACGATCGCCGAGAGAAGCAGAAATAAATTGACCGTTGCAGAAGTGAATCCAGAAATAAATTGACAGTGATAGCAATGAAATAAATAGCACAGTGACTAGTGATATATCAACAGTAATGTAAATAAATAGAATAATTCAAAACCTAAGTTTGGTAATAATTTAATAGTGTTTTTAAGTTCTTCAATAATTAGTGTAAATAAATAGTTTTTGCCGTCCTGAGATTAATTTTTTTAAGGCTACGAACATTACAATATATAAAAAATAAATTTAATTGAGTATCTGAAATGTTTTGTACTATTTTTGGTGAATTTATGAAATTTTAATCGGATCAGATGTGGTTTCCGACCTTCCTGTTAGTAAACCACCACAATGATGCGAACGTGGACGCTCTACATTATATCCTTCGATGCGGGCATTTGCTGCTAGAACACACGCTGTTTCGGTTTCCGATAAATTTATAACATGAAAGCACTCGATACGTGTCCGATAATTCAATTCGTCCCGGTTCAGAAGCAAAACCGCACCGTACTTGTCCGAAATCCATTACGGATTGATATAAATCCGCTTTCCGACTAGTACCGGCAGCAAATTCTACCAAATTCGTTTTAGTTTGGTTTTAGGCGCGCTGATATATAGGCTTTTTTTGCACGCTATAATCTATTCCCATTTATTTTAAGTCCCGCATCAATTTCGGAAATAATAGGATAATGGGATGATGGGCTTAAAGCAACCAACAATTTATATGATTTCATTGATACAATAAAAGAACCAGCTAATAAAGGAAGTGTTTTTTTTATTTTTAGTTATAAGGACTTAGGTGTATCAGGTGTCGGTCCTAAGATTGGTTGGACACGCCTCCACTCCTTCCTATCCTAAGCTAATCTTCGCATTTCCCCAAACTAGAACATCCCACATCCTTAACTATTTGCGAACACTAATCTAATCTAGGCCTTCCNTTAATAGTGTTTTTAAGTTCTTCAATAATTAGTGTAAATAAATAGTTTTTGCCGTCTTGAGATTAATTTTTTTAAGGCTACGAACATTACAATATATAAAAAATAAATTTAATTGAGTATCTGAAATGTTTTGTACTATTTTTGGTGAATTTATGAAATTTTAATCGGATCAGATGTGGTTTCCGACCTTCCTGTTAGTAAACCACCACAATGATGCGAACGTGGACGCTCTACATTATATCCTTCGATGCGGGCATTTGCTGCTAGAACACACGCTGTTTCGGTTTCCGATAAATTTATAACATGAAAGCACTCGATACGTGTCCGATAATTCAATTCGTCCCGGTTCAGAAGCAAAACCGCACCGTACTTGTCCGAAATCCATTACGGATTGATATAAATCCGCTTTCCGACTAGTACCGGCAGCAAATTCTACCAAATTCGTTTTAGTTTGGTTTTAGGCGCGCTGATATATAGGCTTTTTTTGCACGCTATAATCTATTCCCATTTATTTTAAGTCCCGCATCAATTTCGGAAATAATAGGATAATGGGATGATGGGCTTAAAGCAACCAACAATTTATATGATTTCATTGATACAATAAAAGAACCAGCTAATAAAGGAAGTGTTTTTTTTATTTTTAGTTATAAGGACTTAGGTGTATCAGGTGTCGGTCCTAAGATTGGTTGGACACGCCTCCACTCCTTCCTATCCTAAGCTAATCTTCGCATTTCCCCAAACTAGAACATCCCACATCCTTAACTATTTGCGAACACTAATCTAATCTAGGCCTACCTCTACTCCTCCTAACTCCTGTTTCTACCTCTAGTATGTTACTGACTAGACCTTCATGCCTAAGAAGGTGTCCTACCAACCTATCTCGCCTATTTTCTATTGTCTTCCATAGATTCCTCTATTCTCCTATTACTCCTAATACCTCTTTATTTCTAACCTTCTCTACCCATGTTATCCTCATCATTCGCCTGTAACACCACATTTCTAACGCTTCTAATCTTTTCTTTTCCTTGCTAAATGCTAATACTGCTATATCATCTGCAAATCTAGGCACACTAATCTTTTACCCGTCTATATCTATCCCTAGAGTTGTAGTGTCTTTAATGATGTTGATCGCGTCTTCAAAGTATAGATTAAAAAGTAGCGGTAACAGTGTACATTCTTGTCTGACTCTCTTCCTAATATTTACTTCTCTACTTTGCTGCTCCAGCTCTATAACTGCCTGTTGCTCTTTATACAAACTAAATATCACTTTTCCATCTCTGTAACTCATCCTTACATTTTTAAGTAGATTTAACATCTTGTCCCATTTAACATTGTCAAAAAATTTTTCTAAATCTACAAATCCTATGTACGCGCTCTTTCCTTTTTCTATCGTTTTCTCCATTATTACCCTAAAAGCTAGAATGGCCTCCTTCGTTCCTCTATTTCTTATAAACCGAAATTGACCTTCCCCTAATAGTTCTTCCGCCGTTTCCATGGGACAGCCATCGGCTCTAAACAAATAATCTACACTACCCCCTGCCCCGAATAATCCATATCCGCCTTTATCTAAAGTTGATGTAATATCAAAGCCAATTTTCCTATAACTCAAAGTCAAAGAAACTGAAAAATGTAAGTCTGCTGTGAATGTTTAAGGTCAGGGTGAAAAGAAGCACTATTTAGACACATGCAGTCCAAGTTTTCAAGCGAGGTATATTGTTAATCCAATTAACATAAAATGGCATTGTTATCTTCAGAATATCGTCAACTAATTCATTAGAGCAAATGTTTAATGGTGAACCTGTAATAAATATATATCTGACTCCGACGTGTTACGAACAAACTGTTTTTAGCGAAATAAGTTAAACCCCTTGAGGTTTTCTGTCATTTTTGAACGATTTCGGTGACAGATATGACGGCGTTACGAATGGTAATAGTATGTAAATAGTTGGGCACATACGTAATTGAAAATAACCCTAGAGACTCTCAACATATTTCGCATGCATGACTTCATCGCTGCTTCAACCCCTTGACAAAAACGATGACACGTCCATCAGATTATGTCATATTATTATTTCCTGTTTTGTTTCTTACCTCTAAAGTTTAGGAATGTTGCTATCACAATGACGTTAGTAACAATAATGGCGACCGCCATTACGAATATTATGGCGGCCTCGACGAGATTGGTGAGCGAAAAGACAAGTTCAGTTGTTTCGTCGTCTGCGTCACTCAGTATGATCATAGTCGACGTGTCCCTGGTACGTAGCATACCGATCGGCTCTCAAGCCGTGTCGGTCCTTTTAAGTCTGACGTGAGTCGGAGTGGGGGGAGAGCGCGAGGTTGGAGCTGTAAAAGCAGCAGCTCCTACGGTGGTGGTGGTGGTGGGAGATAGGTGGGCCAATGCTATTGGCTTGTTCGCTCGGTGGCCGCCGTGATTCGCCGGTGATCACCTTCGATTCACTGCCGCATTGCGGATGCATCTGTTGAGCTTTTGAAAAGTCCGAGGTACGGGGTCTAATTTATTTCCTTGAGTGCAGCAGTGACGATTTAATTGAGGTTCGTATTGACAAATGGATTCTGAAACAAAAGAAGTATGGCGTCGTTTAAAAAGTAAAACACTGCTTTCATTAGCGGAGAAAACGATTCGTCTAAGAGCTCTCTACTAAATAAAGGAACAGTTACTGTAGCACTAACTTTCGAGATACGTATAAGCGTAACCGAGAATTCTGAAATGGAGCTAGATCTGGACTGGTATCAATTTAATATGCAACTTGTTCTGTTGTTAGAAACAAACGCTACTGCTTCCGTTTGATTAAACTTTGTCGAGTTTGCACAAGGGAAGTTTCATCTGCAGAATTTGAATAGTTACTTGCAACTCAAAGAAGACATAGACATATATGATACACATATAAACTAAACATAAAATATGTACGTATATTTCACCGGTTGTTTTAGTTTATATGTTATTAATACCAGATTAGTACTTCATCATCATAGGGTCGTCAGTCTTAAGACTGGTTGGACACGCACCTCTACTCTTTCCTATCATGAGCTAATTTTCGCATTTCCCTAAAACTAGAACAGCCCACATCCTTAACAATTTGCGAACAGTAATCTAATCTAGGTCTACCTGAGAAGGTGTCCTACCAACCTATCCCGCCTATTATTTATTGACTTCCATAGAGTCCTCTATTCTCCTACACATTCACCACATTTCGAAGGCTTCTAACCTTTTCTTTTCCGCCGCTCCCACTATCCATGTTTCGCACCCGTACAACGCCGTGCTCCAAACATACACCTTTAACAACCTTTTTAGACTTACTTTTCTAATAAATAATTGCTAGGTAACTGGAGCATCAAAATCCCACCGAATTTATTGCAAGTAGTGGAGAATAGCAAAACAAATTTGAAAAGGACTATTATTTTAGTTCGTGTTAGGTATATTGCGTGCTCTACTACGATTTACAGGATAATAAAGAAACACGGAAGTCATTATCGTGGTACCGGATTGCGGTTTGTCAAAGTTATTTAATGTTAGAACACAAAATTTGTATCTGTCTGATTACTGTTTTCTTTGGTTGAAGAGATATTCTAGGGCGGCGTCATCATTTGAGAAATACGATGTAGTATAGAAAAAACGGGCAGACAGACACACGAGTGATCCTATAAGGATTCTGTTTTTCATTCGGATGTACGGAACCCTTACCCGAGAACCAACTTAACATTGTAGTTGAAACAAAACATGTTCTCTCATACGTTCTAACTGCAAATGTAATATTGTCGTCGGAAGGTAGGGAGGCGAAAGGTCTTCTTCAGGGTCCTTTCAGGAATCGTGGGAATGGGGGGGGGGCGGGTGGTTCGGGTGAGAAAGATGAGACGGACGAAATGAAGACAGAAGAGAATGAGGGATTAGCTGTGGAATATTACTGTCCAGCATTTGCCTAAGAAATCCAAGGAAACCACAGAAAGACTTGGACCAAGGCAGACGGACCCAGAATCGAACTGGCGTCCTCTCGAATGCTAAGCAATGGTCTAATCTGTAACCTGTATGTGAAGAACTTTTGTCTGAATTTTTTTCAAAAGTTTAGGTTCGGTGCTTTTGGAGAAAAGGGGCGGAGCATGGTCAATTTTCATCTTTTTTCTTGACTTCAAAACTAATTATTTTAAAATTATAAAAAAATATATATTCTAGACCCTTACAGCAACCCCGTTTCATTTGATATGCGCACGGTACAGTTTGCAAAACTTTTTTTTTTAATTTCCTATCGG